AAAAAAAAAAAAAAAAAAAAAAAATGTTTTAAAATATTTTTCCGAAATTTTTCATTGGTGACTTTTCTTACATATTGTATGAACGCTTACTTGATTCTCTCTCATTATTATTGAATTTTAAATCATTTTTATGCATTTGTTTACATATTTCAAAACTTTTTGATGTTTCTTTAATAATAATTTCGAATATTTCACGTTTTGAGAACTTGTTGTTGCTTTTAGTTTTTGAATTTTTTTTGAAAACACAAAACAATTTTCTTATTCTTTTTGATATTTTGTGTTTTTCTTTTATGTACTCTATGCTTTTTTCAATTCCAAAAGGAACAGCGCGTGTCTTTTCGCCGCGACGTTCTGTTCGCTACTGTTAAAACACGGTGCTACGCGACAAAATATTTCCAATTTTTACCGTTGCAGCTGATTCAAAATACAAACAGTACAGTATAAAAAAAGCGCACACAACACCAACATATAGCAACTTTAACTAAAAACGACCCTCTTCTTTACGATTTTTACCCACTCGTACTCGCATCGTCATCATCATCATTATCGTCATCTCTGACTATGTGTTTATCTCACCAAAGTGTAACGTCATCATCATCATCATCATCATCATCATCATCATCATCATCATCATCGTCGTTAATATGAACAACAGAATTACGTTTTTTTGCTTTTTTTTGTTTTTGTTGTTTTTTTTTTTTTAAAGGGATGCTTATTACTCTCAGAATGTAGTGTAATGTCCATACGTACGTACACCTCCGCTGTTCTTTAACACGTATAGCAAGTACCGTTAGCTCATCCATCAATTCGAATGTATGTAAATGGTTTTTTTGGCCTTGCGGTTGTGTGTACAATTCTTCTGTTACTCATTTCATATTTAGTTTACAATTAGTCGCTCACTTTTCACTCTCTTCTAAGTTCTGTGAGATTTCTTTTATTCAAATCGTCATCATTATCATTATGATGTTGTTTTCCTATTTGCAATTTACTATGCTATGTTAATCTCTGCTCTCTTCTCTGAGAGCGTAATTTGCTTGTATTTACTGTTAATTTGTGCCTGAAACGTTTATGTAGGTGCTGTTACATTACATTTTACGTTATTCTAATGGAGAAACAATATATGCTATGTATAGAATTTCTTTTTATCACCTGAACATAAGAGAGTTTAGGAAATGTTTACATTATTTTAATAACTTTAAGTACGATTCGTGTTTCATAATCAAAGAGAGTTAATTAAATTGATCTTTTGTGTTCATCGTAAGTTGATTAAGTTGATATGCATCGGCTCTCAATAGAAATTGAGCCGCCCGGATTTTGGATAAATACAGACCTTAAATTATGAAAGGCATAGCCTCTTAAATAGTTGTTAAATTTTTCTAATGCGGAGAGTTTCGTAGCAGAAATAATTTACAACGTCTTGGCAAGAGAGAATTTTGCATGAAGGGCGTATTGCGTGATCTCAAATTTTTGTTCTCTCTCGTGATTTTGATTCGAAAATTGGCTTAACTGTTTTTAATATGTACAACTACTGAAGGGATAATGGAAAATTAATCAAAGTATGATTTCTGGTCAAATCTGTTCCTGGTTGCCAATAGTTAGTTAATTTTAATATAATCTCGGTGGTTAATGACAAGGCTACTTCATTAACGAACGCGGGAGGAGATGTGGTCTCTGAGTTTAACATTATAAACAAAGCGCGTTATACGGTTTACAATACTTTGAGGCCTGTCTAGTTTATACTGTGGGCACGTCACAAAGGGAATCTACACAAAAATGAAGATTTAAATTTGCAGATTAGCTTCTCATTACCAATTAAATAAGAGGCAAATAAAAACGAACATCAGGTGAGACGTAGCATAATTATAATTTATATTTGCGATATTCGCGGTAAAATCTCCACACCACAAAAATATTTGAAAAGTAAAATAAAGCATTTACTTAACCAATAAAAGGGCTATAGTGGAGCACGACTTATTATTAAATACTCTACATCATCCCACAATTATTCATATATTGGCTTGTTAAAGTAAGCTGTTATACGATTAGTGGTCAAAAAAGTAGCCCGATCCGAACCATTTTCAATAGCGCTTGACCTTGATCCGAAACACGCCAGCGTACTGAATTTCATCGAACTATCTCAAAGATTGAGGCATGCGGATTGAAGAAAATAAGACGGACAGGCGGACAGATATGCTTAACGTGATTCTGAATCGGTCCGTATAATAAAAAAATCTGGATGCTGCATCTATCCGCACATGGTTAATGTACACTTGTGCCAAAACCGGTAATATCAGGAAAGGTAAAAATGTAACACGAATTCCATAGACGCGAAATGTTTGTTGTATAAGAAGGTATTCTAAATTTCGAATATATGTAATCTACTTAAGCCTGACCGCTTGGAGATGATTATGGAAAAAAGGCTTTTCTCCAATTTTTGGTTTGTCTTTAGTCTGCTTGTACAGCCTAACTACTGGCTTACAAACTTATATTTTCGAACGCCTGGGCTTCTCGAGCTCGTCTAAGAAGGAATTGAATATTTAGCAAGGCATAGTCTTCATATAATGTCGTACTTAAACTCGCTCTTAATCTTAAAAAGTCACGATGAGTCGAACATTAATTGTTGTTAACTATTAGCGGTTGGCAAACTTATGCATGTTTGCGATGGCTTAGGGGTTCATTTGCAATTTAATTCTGTACCGGTTGTGGGTGTGGCTCTAGGCTAGTTGTGTACATGCTTTTTTTCTTCTTCTTATTATACTTATACTAAATTTTAATATTAATTAATTTAAGATTTCCTTTAAGAGTCAATTGAACTCAACTATCAATTTGTTTTAGTTGAGTTTCTTGTATAAGTAGAATAAATAAATAAATAAATAAATAACATAATAGCACTTAATGTTTTATGCAAAATTGCTATCGTAAATGTAGGAGAAATGAAAGTAGCTCGTATAAGGCGATACCGTTAGACTGTTTTTATACATAATGTTAACGCAATGTTAGCATTATAATGTAATCTATCAGCATATAGTAGAACATATAGAGCAGAAGAAAATTTGAGGTTTATACTAAATGAAGATTTTTGTGTCATATTATAAGCGATGTAAGCCTAAGTGCGATAACATATGGAAGAATGTGAAATTGTATCATAATAGGTAGAATACTCTAATGCCAGGAGGAATCACTTAAATATCAAACGAATATTATTTTTTTGCGTAAAAATTAAGAAAAAAAAAAACAATTTTTTTTTTAAATAAAAATTTTTAATTTTGAAATTGAAAAACTTAATAATTAACTTGGACTTGTAATATGTTTATTCAATAAGTTAATTTTTTCGATATGATGGACATACATGTACACATGTACACAGACTTCCACATATGTAGACATGTGTAGATTTCATTATTTACATTTCGTTGTTGTGCATCATTTAAATATAGTTTTTGGCGGTTAAATACACTTAGGAATGTCAATCATTTCGTTTTTTGTTTTTTTTTTTTTTATTATATTGCTGTTGCTGTTATTTCTTTGATATTGTTGTTTTTTTGTGTTTTTTTTTTTTCAATTCTTGCGTATATGTCAGCGATAATTGCCTTGAGTTTGTTGTTATTTTTTTTGTGCTTTTTTTTTTTTTTTTTGTTTTTTTTTTTATTCAACATCTATACAAAAATTAACACTTGAAAAATGTGTTACGTATGTATGCGTATGTATGGGTATGTGAATGAGTATGTGTTCCAATAATAATTAGAACCACCATATTAAAATCACTTGTACGAGTTCATTTGTTTTGTTTTTGTTATTTTTTCATTTATTTTCTCTTTCACAAACATACGTATAAGTAAAAAAGAAAAAAAAAAAAAAAAGACAAAAACAATACAGTGTGTTACATATCATTTATAAAATAACATAGTCGATGCGATGTGTTGTGTTATAAGTATTTTAAATAAAATATCTATGACTTGGTATATAAATTGCTCTTATACTTATATATAAATGTACTTATATATGAATACATATATGTATACATATATTAAACACCGACAGCACACAGAAAAAACCTCATCATCAACAACCGCACAAATAATAAAACTAAACCGTACATTAATGAGCATTTTTTTCATTTCTCGCTTTGTTGTTGTTGTTGTTTTTTTTTATTTTTTTTTTTTATAATGTGCGGTTGGAGGTGGGTGGAGCTTCACTCACAACAATATATTTATAATTTTTTTTATGTGCATTCTGACAAACACACTCATTTGTTGCTTATTATACACTAACAAAATTTTGTATTTATTTGATATTTATTGTTGTTTTTGTATTTTCGGATATTATTCACTTTTCAATATGTGCAACTGACGGGGAATAGTGATTTTCATTTGTTTATATACATATATTTAACCGTATAAAGATATGTATATAAAACTTTTCCATTTTTTACATCTATTCGTGTTTATATTACAATCTCATACACGCAGGCTTGTAAACTATATATTCGGTCAAGTGTTCATTTGTTGATTTGCCCTTTTTTTTTTTTTTTTTTTTAAAAGAGGTGTAGTACTTTACTCTATAGTACTTGTTGATTTCATTATCATTGCTTTAACTATTAGTTACCCCATCTTAGAAAATTCATACAAGAGCTAAAAAAGAATAAAAAATATATTTTTTTTTTTTTTTTACATTTTTACATAAATTAAATATGATTTCCTCTTAAATTCTTTAAAAGTTTCTTTAAAACATTTTTAAACAAATATTAATTATATCATTTCCATGGCACGTAGCCTTGCGATCCGAGATTACTAATACAAGGGAACTATATAATTAAAAGAATTTTTACTAAGCTTACGATATGATTTTCAAACGACGTACATACACGTACGTTCTCAACAGGAAGATACAAAGA